CCCAGATCCTGGAGGGGCGGGGATGTGAAGGCGAGCCGGTGGCTGGGCAAAGGGTTCGTCTGACATCGACTTGCTAATTGTACAAGTCCGCGCACGGCAGCGGTCGAGCAGCTCCTTTCCTCCCACCTGGAGCACGGGCTCCACCTGACCTCAGCTTTCTGCTTACATCTCCACCTCGCCGTCCTTCTCGGGGAGGGAGGGCCTCTGGGAGCTGTGCTGGATGAGGTGGTGGGCCTGGGTGGGGCAGGTGCCCTCCAGTGTCTTTCCTGTGCTACTGGTGTTCAAACCCAGCCCCCTGCACGCTGGGCAGAGCCTCGCCCCCCACGCTACACCTTCACCCCCTTTCTGTGTCGGCTGGGCAGAAGCGGTCATGTAAATCCCTGCTTTCCATGACAAGCAGCCAATGAACTAGCCGTTGTCCAGCCACATTTTCCTCCCAGGGCGGGTCCCTGTGTCACAGCCTCTCTGGCCCCAGCGCCAACAGCTGGCAGCCAAGGATCTTAGGTTCCCTTTGCTGCTTTCCCACAGCAAAGAGCAATCTGGCCCGCAACAAGAGATCCCATAAAATATCCACAGCACCAGGGCTGAGAAAGGCTGGGACCTGGGGTGAGCAGTGAGCGAATGAGCACCTGTGTTCCCCGGCTTTTCTGCTTCTCGAGGCAGGGCTCAGTTAAATATGCAGTCCAGCCTGACCTTGCACTCGTGAGTGACCCCCGAGTCAGTTGTCCTGCCTCAGCCTCGCTGGTGCCGGGAGTTGCCACCACACCCAGCTCAGTGTGCTTTTGAACCCAACATCAGAAAGGTCGGTGCAGAGGTCCTCCTGCACGCCTTTTCCAGGCTCGTGTCGAGTGGGAGAGCTATCAGTCTACATCCCCTGCTCCTCTGCCAGGCCTGAGTGCTGCCTTTCATTTATTTTTATTTTGGGGTGGCACTTGGAATTGAACCCAGAGGGGCTGAGGAGATGGCTCAGTGGAATAAGCGCTTCCCTGGCAAGCGCAAGGGCCTGAGTTCAATCCCCGGTTCCGCAAAAAAAAAAAAAAGGAATTGAACCCAGGGCCTTTGTACTGAGCCACATCTCCAGCTCTTTTTTATCTTTTATTTTATTTTTGGTTTTTCTTTTGAGACAGGGTCTAAGTCACAAAGCTGCCCGAGGTGGGTTCAAAGTTGTCATCCTCCTGCCTCCACCTTCTGGGGTGCTTGGATGACAGGTGTGCACCACCAGGCCTGGCTTGGCTTTTGGTTTTTGTTTTTCAACCGTCGGGATGGAGCCTAGGACCTTTGTCCATGGTAGGCAAGCGCCCTGTCACGAGCTATGTCACCAGCTACTTAGCTTCTGGATCTGTCTGGCTTCCTACTGTAACCACTGTGTCAGCTGTTCTTGTTTTGTTTTGTTTTGTTTTTTTTTAAGATCACTTGCCCACTGTGGACCTGAGAGTGTAACCATAAGGGAAGACTGCGTATTATTTTTGTAAAAGTTTATTTTGGCCTCCTGAAATCAAATTTCCTGTTATTTCACCATCTAAAAACCAAGTCTACTGACGCCCCTTGGCCAGCTGTCACCGCCCTTGGCCCGGG